CTGAAAAAGCAAATAAACACAAATAAAAGTGGCAATTTCGGCAAGCAGTCGCGGCAGCATTAAAGCCGCTAAAATATTGGTAGAGCGAGTAAGTTGAGTATGCATACAGTTATATGAGCACGCGTAAGCCACAAATGCCACACGACGCCTTTGTGCAATGTACGAGTATGTATGTATGTATGTATGTGGCAAATGTGCATTTGGGACGTGAGGCGATTTACTCGTGTGGCATTCGAAATGAGGCAACACTGAATTTGGCCACAACAGCAAATGCTAATTTTTTATACCGCCCTTCAAAACAATGTTCGAAATGCGCCGCAATTTTGCTGAAAAGCGTAAGAAAAGCTACATGGCCTTGGACATATTGGCGCCGCATGCCACAAACAGCACTCGGCACGCGCAACTAGAGCTCATCAACCACCGAGCAGCTGTATTGAGTAAGTAGTGGAATAATTTCATACGCTCCTTTGCCCATGGCTGTGCAAAAATTATTCCATTTATAACAATTCAAAGTCATTCACAGTGAAATTGTAAAGAATTTTTACATTACCACATCCTGCTTATGTAAAGAGCCGCGCGCAGTGAACAAATCAAAATGTGGCAACAATTTTCGGAACTACAGCTAAGCAATTGGCGTGGCAAGCAATAAAAGCTATCAATGATGCAACATGACAAATGCATACAATTGTGGCATGCCACGAAGGAGTTCAAATGTTTTACATCATTTTTATTGACTGCTGTTGTAGCATTGTTGTCGACGTGCATGTAAAACTTGTTGTTACTGTGAACAATTTTATTAGAAACTCACTGTTTTGTTTTTACTTTCATTTTAACGTTGATGCAACAAAAACTGAGTAACTTTATAAATTATTGCAGCACACAGGCGAGTAGCTAAAACAAACGCACGCAAAAATGCATATGTACGTATTAGGGTGATTGGATCAGTTTTTTCAAAACCGGTGTTCACAGTAGTTTTTTTTTTATATCCGTGGGGTTTTTTTTTGAAATCCTGATTTTAAAAACACCGAACAAAAACTTTTTTTTTTCGCAAAACCCGATTTTTTGTTTATTTCATACCTCCCAAAAAGTTTTGAGTTTTTCGAAGTTTTCAAGGCTTTTTCCAGTTTAGCACTTTTCCTCCAGCATCGAAGAAGTACACTGGGAGGTGCATTTTTTCATATTGCTGGGACCATAAATTGAACCATGGGCCCCTAGAGTAGCAGTAGGATCATCTAAACACGCGGCTATGGCGGCAAGAGACTACTGAAATCCGAAAATAGCAATTTTCGAATAACTCGAAACCCGGTTTTGGAAAGAAGGCGAATAATTGAACAACCTCGTACATACACGTATATATTTACATATGCCTGTATATGTGCATATGTAGCAGCTGTATCAGATGGCTATAAGGATGCCAGGTTGCCTAGTTGCCAGGCGCAGCGGCTGCAGAGGATGACACAAGCGTTCAATTTCTGTTGGCTGTCGATTGCAGTATGGATGTTGCGGTAAGTTCACGTATGTGTCAGGCCCATATCTAATAACATCACATGTAAAAATATTTACTTTTGTTTTCGCTATCAATAAAAAAACAATATATATGAACTCTTGCTGGTGGGTAGTTATGCGTTGTGCTGTCTCTGTAGTGAAAGACACTAGTACTGAACTAGTATGTTGCCAGTCTCTCGACTAGGTTAACCCCGACTTTTTAGCAATGCTGTATTGGCTGCTCTCAGGGCGAAATCTTTATCGACGCGAAATAAAAATTCTTCTCAGTCCAGGAGGAGTATAAAGGAATAGTAAAAATAAATCGCCTTCGGTTGTATACGTTAATTTTATATCGTCTCTCTTATGACAGAATCATGGATGTACAAATTTACCAATTTTGAGTTATTGTGTTGACTTTACTAACCTTTGGATGTCTACGTTATACCAGAACCCAAAATACAATTCGTACACGGAAACCACATATTTTACATACATAAATCTTTCAAACTTGATTTCTCAACATTCTCATTTTTACACATTCATGTTTCTGGCAAACGGGCGAAGATATGTAAGCACAACTTAACTTATATTTGATTGTTTATCTATTATTCAGGCAGGTTGTAGTGCAATTCATTATCCGGATCAAGATTATCCCCTATCCGAGTACTCGGATAGATATAACTCACTCTAGGTACCTGGATAAAAGCAACCCGCTACCTAGGTACCTGAATAAATATTACTCTCTTAGCGGATATTGGGTTAAAGATAACCCGTTTCGCAGATACCCGGATATACATATGTACATAAAATATTAACCTCTTCCCGGCTGCCCAGACAAGAAAAATCCGCTACCCAAGTACACAGATAAAATCTACACCTACCAGGGAACTCGGATGAAGATAACCATCTATACGGGTACACGTTTAAGGAAACCCCTTACCAGGGCAATATGGCACATATAACCCGCTATGATATGAGATACCCGGATAATGATAACCGCCTACCGGGGTACTCGGATAAAGATAACCCCAGCCGGGCAATCGGGTAAAAATGAATCCTATATCCGGGTACCCGTGGAACGATAAACCACTTTTTTTTTTTAATAGCAACTGGCAGCTCCATTTATATGCGACCAATATTATTCCTCTCACTGTATAACCGAAAACAAGCAACCATTACAAATAAGCCTCCCAGATAAGTATCAGTGAAAGAGATTTATATCTTGAAATTAAATATAAGTCTCAGTGGGAAAGCAAAATAATGCGCGCATTTGTATATCTCTCTGAGAGAAACTAGTATGTGATTGCACAATATGATAAGTATCCGACTAAAAACACTCTGGTTTTTCGGTTAGAAGTTATTTTGAAACCCTGGAAAATATCAATGCACCTTGCATGAGATTCCTTTCTTTTGATTACGACGGTAAACTATTAAAGTAGTATAATATGAGCGTACGCACCTTAATATGCAGACACCAACCGTCTGATCGACTTTACCGGGCCCGAGACATGGTAGTACTAGGTTTCAGCATTAGAAGATCCATCGAGCTACGTGGTTGTCTGCGGATCGAAAAACAAGGAGCCAAATCGATCATGTTGTGATATACATATGTAAGGCATGCTTCCATCGACATGATATGTATTCACGTTTCATGAAAATAAAAATAAGATAATGCCTCTTTTTCTATTAGGAACTTACTTTTTTCCAGGAGAGAAACAATTTTTTGCTAATGCATTCCTGACTACTTTGGCTTTTTACTGCAGGGTTTCGCGTGAATATATACAATAATATTTACTGAGTGTGTATGTGGGGGTGATTCGTGTCAACAGCAGGCATCAGCGTGAAAATAAATATTTAGCCGCCTGTGTGGCAATTGTGTTTAGCCACAAATAAACCGTACACAAACAATGCTGCAACGCAAAATATTTTTTGTACTCATCTGTATGTAATATGTAGATATGTATGTATTAGTCAATTCTTTTTTTTGTTTTTGATGATATAAATTATTTAAGTGTCAGCGATTTGAAAACCTCAACACCTGTCAACATGGCAGGTGAATGCAAAAAAATGCTTTATTTCCTGGCTTAACTAACAAAAAAAAAAATATTAGTATTTTTAAAGCTTTAAAGGGTTTTACTTTATTATTTTTTTTAGATAGAAATAAACACGTTTATATATCTGTGGTATATATCAATAATCGCTTAAGTCGAGCTGAGGCAGATTTTAGTTGAGAATGCCAACTTATTCTTCTAATAAGGCTGCATGATTAGCTGAAACGCCTAACGTCCTAGAGTACTTTTGCAGAAACAAATGGCCTAAGTAGTTTTAAAGCTGATTGACTTTGCAGTAAAATTATATACGAATTAAATTTATTTATGAGAAATCTTATTGCCTATTTTTATAGATTTAATATGTTATCGCATCACTCAAGAACGGCTCAACGGATTCACTTCGTTTTAATTTCATTTTTTGTCTTTCTCTCTGTAGAACGTTTGTAAGGAGAAAATTCCAAAAATTATGTTGCCAGATATCTGCAATATCAGAGAAAAATTAATTATAAATAAGCCGCAATAATGCTATTTCACTGAGAATATATAAAAAAAATTCAGAAAAAAATTTCGGTAGGGTTGCCACCATTAAAAAAAAAATTAAAAATGGACTGCTTTCGTGTGTTATCGCAAGAACGGCTCAAGGGATTTGCTTCGCCTTTATTTCATTTTGTGTTTTTCTGTCTGTAGAATGAATGTAAAGAAAAAATTGGAAACCCGGTGTTGCCAAATATTTCAAATATAAAAATAAAATAAATAAAATTTACATAAGCCGCAATAATGTCTTTTACTGAGAATGTATAAACAAATTTCATAAAAAAATAAAATGAATAGGGTTGCCACCACTCAAACACATCTTTATACATGAAAATGAATTACTGTGAGTGTTTTGTCGCATAACTCAAGCACGGCTGAACGGATTTTCTTCGTTATTATTTCATTTTGTTTCTCTCTGTCGGTTGAAGGTTTTTAAAGAAAAAATTTAAAAACCGGTGTTGCCAGATATCTGAAATATCAAAAAAAAGAAAAATAAAAAATTTCATATAGAAAAAAGTTTGGAGTTTGCCACCATTCGATAAAATCTTTATATGTGTATGAAAATGTGTTGCTTCATCAAAAACAATTTAATTTAAATAAGCCGCGATAATGCTATTCCACTGCGAATGTATGAAAACAATTAAAGCAGAAAAAAATTTGCATAGCGTTGCCACCATTCGAAAAAAATCTCATGTCACGGTGTTTGTGGTCAACTCCTTCGAAACGGCTTGGCCGATTTGTATGACATTTTTTGTGCATATTCGGAAATATATGAAACAGGGACCGTAAATAGCAATTATTTTTTTCCACCAGCTAAACTTGGCCAGATATTTTTTAAGTTCGAAATAAAACTTGTTTAATTTGGGTAAGCAGTTTGTTTATTATTAGGAAAGTACTTTTATTTGCTAATTAAAAATATCTGGCCAGTAGTGCGATTCTGAATCTTATTTTAACCACATTTCACGTTGTTATCTCTAGTTAACAACTTTTTTTGGGGTTAAGTGATTGTGTATCAACTTTAACCATATTTGTCATTGTTTAGTGTTAACAAACGCAGTCAGCTGTTTGGTGACAATTATTTTTGTGGTTAAGCTAACAGCATCTAGTTTTTCTTTGTTAAGCTGTTGTTTACTAATTTTGCTGTGAAGTTAAATTGAGAAAATTGTGAAGATTGTGTTAAAAAATGGCATTTGCATACATTGCATCATATTTATATGATACCGATAATGAGCAGCCATTAAACGTGCCAAGAATTGACCGGCGTAGGCTTCGCGAAATCGATAACCCTTTCGAACTAACGTTAACGGAGTTCCGGAGGCTATATAGACTCAGTCCCGGCATGGTTGAAAATTTGGTGTCGCAACTTGACAATCAATTAAGAGGATCGCGAATAACAGCGTTATCGACTGAAAAGCAGGTAAGTCAATATACATGTATTTCAACTTTATTAAATATTATAGGTGCGTTCCAGCAGTAGTACGAATTGCAGGGTCTGAAGGTTTCAAGGATTTACAGAAAAAGCTGCTTTTAACTTTAATAAACCTTATGTGACGTGGAACAGCTTTTTCTGTGAAACGTACAATTGCTATTACCGCTAGAAAGCATCTTGTATAAGCATGTGTTTATGTACTCGTTGAAGGTTCTAGCTGCTCTACGGTTTTATGCCACTGGATGCTATCAACGCCCAGTAGGTGAACAGTGGGGCATATCCATGAGCCAAACATCGATAAGCCGTTGCATACACCGTGTGACTGACGCAATCAACAATTCAATGTTTACCTCCAAAGTGAAGTTCCCTATGACGCAACTGGAGTGCCAAGCGGCAAAGGAAATTTTTGCGTCTGCACCTTCACCATTTGTAGCAGGAACTATCGGTGCAATCGACTGCACCCATGTTGCAATTTTGGCTCCCAAAAATAATGAATCAAATTATGTCAATCACCATGGGTACCATTCGATGAACGTGCAAATGGTAAGAACAAATGTACAACATGAAAATTTATATTGTTATTTTATAATGGTTCAAACTTATAGATATGTGATCCAAATCTTAAGATTTTAAACGTGAATGCAAAATTTCCGGGAGCACGACATGATTCGTTTATTTGGAGCTTCTCTGCAGCGCGTCGGGTCATGCAGCGATCATTTGAAACTGGAAATCACAACACGTTTTTGATAGGTAAGTTGTTTTAATTCCATACGAATAGAAATATTAAAAGAANCGCTAAAAATTCCGTTTCCGCGGGAAGGAAATAAGTTTTTTTTCTTATTCCTCTTTGTACTTTTCGCATATTTGACATTTATCTCGACTGAGATGCCACATTTCATCATTTTAAATAAAAAGGAATAATCAGCTGTTTTTCGCTGTTAAGCAAGAGTTAGAGAATCACACAATTGTTAGTGCAAACGGCAAAAGTTGTTATGTAACCTAACAATTTTTTTATTGCTAAGAGTTACAGAATCGCACTACAGGTTTAGCTGTTGAAAAAAAGTAACTGCTATTTACGGTCCCTGATATGAAATCAATCGCATACTCATGGAAAAAATGGATGTTATTGGAAAAGGGGCGCGGCACCTCTCTGAGGACATGTGATGATCTCCGAAATAGCTACTATAACTTCTACCGCTTAGACATTGTTGTTTTTTTCCATTTTTCCTTACAAACAAATCGTGGTACAAAACTCACTAACCCTACTGAAATATTTTTCTTATGTTTAGTAGTTTTTCTTACAAGCATATCATTATCTAACAAAAACCATATAAATCCAAGTTTTAAAGTTTTTCCAAAAATTATAAAAATTCCAAAAATTTCACTAAAATTTCCAACTTTTTGTTCAATATTTTTAGAAAAATTTCAGCTAAATTAAATTTTTCTCGAGTTTTGAACCCATTCACCCTGCATGAAGTGAAATAGAATCAGCCAACTACTTTTTAGCAACTTCAAACTTGGACTTTGTTTAAAAATATAAATATAATAAAATATGAAAGTCTGAATAAATTAATGGGATGCTTACGTTCGGAACATAAAAATCACTTGTGACATATTTACCTCTTACTCTATTTAGAAAATAATTTTTTATTGAAAACACATTATGGAAAAAACATGAACATTGTGGACCAACTGCACGAAATCCTTTAATTGCCGTCGAATCTCTCTCGTGTGTATGGAGTTTTGCTTTGTTTTAACCGCTCAAAATAATTGGCAACATTTTTAAGAAAATGGCTATAGGAATTAGTGTTGGAAAACTATCGAGAGTGAACATCACCGATATTTGGCGATGGTTTTTGGGCAACTATCGATTGTGTCGATAGTCACTTTCAGCCGATAGGGCAGCAGTATCGATAGTCGCGATTGTTTGCTAGATATCACGCTAATGATAATATTTGTATGTTAATATATCCCATTTTCTGTAAACACGTATGTGCCTATGTATATTAGACTGCATCACCAAAAACAGTTGCAGTATTTCCGCCGGGCTTGCAAAATTTATTATAATTTAAGACGTCTACCAAAATATTTCGGAAAAATATTAAGATTTAAGTGACCAATTTGAAAATACCGCCAAAATGGAGCTTTTTATGAATAAAAATAGTTTCTTTAAGAAATTTTGAAAAAAGTCCCCTCAGATGACAAAATATATTAAGCTTAAAAAATCTGCATAAATATATTTAAAAATCTTTTCAACGAAATTGTAAAAATGAGATTCTTGGTGCGGTTTTTTATTACTTTTTTCAAAGATTGATTTACGAAAAACTTCAATAACTGAGCCGAAACTATTTTTACACTGTTTTGATTTCTGTCCAAAAAAGTCATTCCTGTCCCAATTTTTTATTTTTTTTTTTCAAATACCAACACATCTTAATTCAACTTTGAATGACGTTTGTTCATCCTACATATCTCTTTTATCCTTTGAATGAGCTTATTGTCAAAGAAATAAAAAGGGTGGGAAAATACCTTCCCAATGACACCTCTTAAGTCTAAATCGGGAGATTTTAGGTTCAGTTATTCAAGTTTTTCTTATACCAATCTTTGAAAAAATTTAAAAAAAACAGCATCAAAAATCTCATCATTACGATCCCGTTCAAAATTTTTTTTTTAATTTTTTTTTAATATTTGTATGCAAATTTTTTAAACTTAAACCGTTTCGTCATTTGATAGGATTTATTCAAAACAAAAAATATTTAAGAAACTATTTCATAAAAAACTCCATTTTTAGCGGTATTTTCAAATCGGTTCAGCTCACGTAAATCTTAACATTTTTCCGAAATATTTTGGTGGACGTCTTAAAATATAATAGATTTTATAATTCCAATGGCAAAATAGTACGGATTTTTTTTTGTATGGGGAGCGATGCAGTCTAAATCATATGTATGTACAATTTCGCTAAATTATTTACCTACACTGTGCGTACACATACATATGTCCGTTAGTTCTGTGTAATGACTCTGTGAATTTTTCTGCACGTGACCATATGTACAAAATTTCATCGATAGTATCGATAGTAGTGTATTGTCGATAGTCAGCGCCATCGATAGTTGCGACAGTGAAGCGTCATCGATAGAAGATTTTTCCTCTGCTGTAAATTTTATAGAAGGCGACTGTTTTTTTACCTTCAAGCTAAAAATAAAAGTCCTTTCTGAATAATAAAAAAACCGCCTGTCCAAATTAAATTTGGTAGGAATTTGGAGGAATGAAATAGCTTTTAAACAAAAATAACGAACGATCTTAATTTACATTTGTTTGAAATTTATTACTAAAGAAATGAATACACCTGACACAAGGTTTGTTCTATGGTACTGGATTAACATTTTTTATTGAAATATTTTTAAATATGTGGCTTTCCTCGTTTAGACATTTCAGCTATAAAGATATTAAAGTCCTCTTTAATTTGGTACCAAACTTGTTTAATTTGTACATATAAGCGGTTTGTTTATTATCGGGAAAGGACTTTTATTTCGGAATAATATTCGCAACAACCCTGCTAGCGATATACATACATTTGTGAATGTGTGTAAATTATGCAATTATATTTTTAGTAATTAGTTTCTTAACCTTCGAAAAGAACGCTCGGGTTTTGCGTCTCAGTGTCATTATTATCTCATCCCGTAGGTTAGGTTGAAGTGGCTTCCAGTAGACACACCAGGACACTTAAAGCATAAACAGATGGCAGTGTTGATCCGGATCAACTCGGGGAATTAACTGCAATTGATCCGGATTAAATACGAGTTAATGCCGATCAACCCTGCCGTATGTTTAAGCTTCTACGCCCACCATCGGTCCTGTTGTAGTACCACTAGGAATCTTGTTGAATGAATTCAGTGCTTTTAAAGCCGCGCCAAATTTTTTAATGAAACGAGTTGGAAGAATTTTGAAGAAAGACTTTTTGAAAATTATTTTTTTAATGTTCCTTATGCAACAGTTTTTAATATCCCTACTAACCGTATAAAGAGAGTACGAGCTGTTGTTTTTAATTTAAATGAGAGCTCAATAAATAGCGCACTATACGTTGCATATTTTTAGGCACACGAGTGCATTTTATTTACTATACATACAAAAACGCAGCACTGTTTACAAATAATAAAAAAAAACACAAACATTTCTTAAGGCTCAGTTATGCAGAGCAAATTTACAGAGCGCCCAAGGCAGATGGAAAAATAAAGAGCAAAACACCAGCAATACATCAGCATAGGAACAACAAGAGCGTTTACAATAATCAACGTACATACATAAATATTAGGTGTGTAAACGGAGCGGACAACAGCCAAAGGCTAAAAGCCATACAGCAAACAAGTAAATAGTCGAATGGCCAAATGATAACTGCCTCAAAGCAAACCCGTGCGGTTACAAATAAAGCCATAACCAGCACTTAATTATTTAAATAATAACTAAAACAATGTGCATGAAAAGTAAACCTCGATTTTCTAAACGTTTACATATTCGAATATCATTCGAATATCGTGCCATTATGGTCGCGCGTCTGGCGGTTAATTTTTTTAGAAAGCGCGTTTCTTACATTTAATTTGTATTTTGCTAATTTTTATTTTATGCATTTGTGTTTTTCTATTATTCATGTGATGTGATAAGCGGCTTAACGCCTCTTAAATAACTTTATGTCGCTTTCAGTCTATTTCACAGCTCAGCTAATTCGACTGATAGTGAGGTTTGAAGGGTGTGTGGGAAAATTATTTAAGCTTTTATGGGATATTCTATACCTTACCTTAAGTAGAAATAAATTTGTACTTGAAGCACTTGAGAGTAAAGTGTTAGCATATCTGGTACATTAGTTTAGTTTTTGAAGGGTCTTATCAACAGTTAAGCTGTTAAATCACTCAGTAGGTGGTAAGGTGGAGAATCATCTTTATTTATTACAAGGGTGTACTTGTAAAGAGCTTGATATTACTGGGTTCGGGAGCGTAAGTGGATTATCACCCTGGTGATAAGCAATTAGCAAGTTTGCCATTTTGACTCGAGTTTGGCGACTCTCGCAGCAAACTAATTTTTTTGGACCAAACTTCTGAAAAATTAGTGTTGCCATTCACAAACATTTTAGGTAATTGTTGTTATAAACAAAAATTGCGGTGATTTCGAAAGACAGAGAACTTAATTTATGCTGTAGGTGCTTCAAATATTAGGTCTCAAATATTAGGTCACAATTAATTGCCCATACCATATAATAAAAAAATAACAATATATAATAATATTGACAAATACATAGTTTAGGAAGAGCCTGCCTGAAACTATACAAAAAAGCAAATAAGCAAATGGATGTATAGAATTGACAACAACAACCACGCTGTCGAGTTTAAATAGCGGCAAATCAGCTGCACTTGATAGTAGTTGGTTGAATAAGGAAAATGAATTAGCAACAAGAGTTTACGGGATGTACATAGCTCAGTGGTTAACGCTTCTGACTTTGAACATCGAATACGCAGGTTCGATCCCTGCTGAAGTCTAGAAAAAAGAAGTCTGATGAGGAGATGTGGTGATCTCCGAAATAGTGCTATAACTTCTACCGCTTAGACTTTGTTGCTTTTTCAATTTTTCCTAATAAACAATCGTGGTACAAAGCTCAAAAAAAATATTAAAATTAAAATGTTAACAAGCCACAATAACATTGAAAAAAAATTTAAAATTGTGCATGATATGTGCATCTGAAATTTTCATTTCGTGTTGCCAAT